ACACACACACGCAGTGTTTTAACCATAGGGGTTTTTTACAATGGGTGTTTGTGTAAACTGTGTGTCACAGAATAAAAAGGCTGCAAGCGGGGGTTGGGGTCGGAGTTGTTCGAGACCAAGGACAGAGTGCTGCTGTTCCCCTTGCTATAGCATGTGAAAATCGATCGATCACTGTTCTGTCTTGCTTTCTGAAGTAGCGGACCTGCTGAGGTGCAGACCCAACACGATGTACTAAACATGAGTAATCAATGTACTATGTCCGCATGTATGGAAGGTGTCGCCCTGACACCCTGAACCATTTTTGTGCACGCTTTGAAACAGAAAACTGGCAGCAGAGAGGCGATCTACCTTTCTGAGCCAAAGGAGCAGTAATAGCCTCTTCAGGTGAGGTCTACACTGAGGAAAACCAACACCAGCAAGGCTGCAAGACTGGACAGGGTGTCAGATCAGACTGTGAAGTGTGAAATTTGCTGACCAATCTGTAGTTTCTCCGGGGGGGTTTCAGACAGTTTCAACCTGTCACATCAGGTTGCTGTCTGCCCCAAATCTTTCATTATTGCCTCTGTGTCTAAAAAGTCAGCTGCCACCTGCAATGTGATTACTGCACTGTTGCACTGACCTCAGTAATTATGCAGCACTTCAAGGACATCATCCCTGCTGGTATTGAGAGCCATCAGTTCACCTATACAGGGAACCAATGCACAGAGGATACAGCCTCAATAGCTCATCACACAGCCTGGCGTCACCTGCAGCTGAAGTCAACGATGCTATTCGTTGACTTCAATTCTGCCTTTAATACGGTAATCCTGGATAAACCACCACTGAAGCTTCACAACATGGTGTTGTCCACTTCGATGTGCTCCTGAATCAAGGACTTTCTCACCGGTAGGCCTCAGGTGGTGAGAATAAGGGACTGTACATCAGCCACTGTGTGCTCAGCCCAGCTCTCACATGACTGTAGTATCATTCACTGTTCAAATACCTTTGTGAAGTTTGCAGACACCACCATAGAGGGTCTCATGTCAGATAATGAGACTCTCTACAAAGAGGAGCCCCTGTACCTGCCATTACTGTGTTTACCTCTGCAGCAACGATCAAAACCAGGTGTGAAAATGAACCCGGGTTCAATTTAAACGGACTAAACAGCAAAGGTTTGAAAGCACGGCAGAAGAGGGAGAGCTGACACAGTGGAGAATCCAAGATGACAAGACAAAGACAGGCTGTAAAAATATCATTAATGCTACATCCAAGGAAAAGGAAATAACAAAACTTAACAGGAAGTGAAAATGAGAGTCATGGAAACATAACAGGAAAATGTGAATGAAAGAAGCCACAAAAATAACTTGTCAGGAACCCAGGACTGTGATACAGCTGTTTACTGATGCAGTTTTTAGTCGTGCTGTATTTTTTCCTGGAGTCAGTGTTTGAGAACATGGATTGACATGTGATGAATTTACTGAGATTTTCTTTGTTCTGGTGGTTGATTTTGTCATCGTTGTTTGAAATAAATAAATAGTGTAATCGTATAGGAAAACTGTAACAACTTAGACCTTGCCTATGCTTGTATTGCATCATGTGTGCAAAGGCAATTACATGAAATAGTTAAATCTATTGTCCATTATATACTTGTGTTTTTCAATTCTGTTTTACTGGGAGTATTTTTAACTGTAAGTGTCTGTACTACCCACAGATTTTCCTTTTTAAAAACATATACAGATAAAACCTTCACTACTAGCCAGTACTGACTACACATTGGCCAAAAAACAGAGGAAAAAGTTTAGGACCTTTATTGATTCTTCTTCTGTCTGAAATCATTACTTGAAGGCGACTTCAGCATTTCCAATAATGTCTAAGAACTTTGATCTACAAAACCTCTTGGTCTTGGTGGATTTATAGAGGTCCAGGTTAGGGTTTAGGACCACATACCGAGGCAGATGACCCCATCTCCAGTGTACCCCTGTTTACAGGTACAGGTCCTCATTCCCGCTGCCACTTTGGTACAAACGGCAAACTCTGAGCATCCGCCGTTAGACCGTCTGCACAAATCCAGCTCTGAGAGACAGAAAGAGAAAGATGAGGAGAGCGTAATCACACTAAAAGACAGGTTTAATGACGCTGTGTGTGTGTGTGTGTGTGTGTGTGTGTGTGTGTGTGTGTGTGTGTGTGTGTGTAGTTGCCTTTGCAGTAGGTTCCATTTCCTTCATATCCAGCCGTGCACACGCAGACGGCAGCTGTTCCCTGTGGCCCTGTTATGCAGCTGCAGCAGAAAAACAAACGGCTCAATATGTGTTTCACATTTTTACTGAAGCTGAGAGCTGTAACTAATAATTTCTATCATTACAAATCATATTTGTGAACAGCGCCCTGCATTACTGTTTATATTCTGTAGTTTTCTTCGCATCATTGATCCTATTACCAGCACAGAATTGAATTTCTAGCCTAACACATATCTCACTGCCGTGGTGCTCCACTGTTGTCAAAAAAGGATTAAAAACACTCAGTGAGCTACTGTTACAACGGACCACATGTCCTTTCATTACTATGAACACACGATGAAAACACTATAGACTCAATCTCACAGACTAGCCCCATCAAACAAACTTACAAAAACCCATCCATCATATAATAAAAGCACATCTCTACAGATTTTTTTTAAACACGTTTTTAACATTTAGGGCAATCCAATAATGAAGTGTCTGTGTATTTTAATGCTAAAAAATTATCTGCAAGGTGGTCATTATCTTATGCCTGATCCGTGTATGTTTATGCAGCCCTTCAAGCAGAGCCTTTCGAATTTTATCTTGTCCAGTTCTGAAGCATGACATCTTATTATTTTAAAATCAGATATCACCAATGACGGATGTATTCGACTGATAAACCAAGGGCCCGATACGCCCATAGAGATTTATGGTCTGTTTTACTTTTCCCAGAGCCTTCATTCAGGGGGTCGCCCCCTCCTGGCCATTAGAAAGAATGCATGTTTAAGGGACTTCTACATGGTGCCTTAAACCAGTGGTCCCAAACCCACAGGCCACTGGTCTGTGAGTCGTTTGGTACCAGGATGCGAGAGTTGAAGCTCAGGTGTATAACTTGTGGCTTTCAGGGTTTTTATCAGTTTTTATCGTTATTTTCTTTTAATCGTTTTTATCGTAAACTCTGTTTCCATGGGTCTTTCTTTACGGATAAATCTTTTTTTTGGTAACGGTACTGGTTTTATTTTGTTGTATTTATCTCCAACACCTTAAAGGCCGGTCCGTGAAAATTTTGTCGGACATAAACCGGTCCGTGGCGCAAAAAACGTTTGGGACCACTGCCTGTATCAAATTACAGATTTAGACCATCCTTTGCCCTCCTGTATCCCCTGCTGCATTTGGCAAACAGGAAGCTCCGGTAAATCTCTGCCTTCATCCAGCTACTTCAGTCAGCAGTGAAATCATCAATAAATGTAATTTCATCTTCACTGGCAGCAATGAGAAAACCTCCAGCATTTTTGAAAAAAAAAAAAAGAGGTGCTGCTTTGGGTCAGGAGAAGTTCTTTTCACTGCTTCCATAACAGAGCTTTTGTGGACTGCAGCTTGGCCTGCCTGTTTTTGTGTCAAGGTCACAGAGTGCCTCAGGTGTATTCCTCATGTGTCTGGCAGCCCGGCCCTCCTCTCACTCCCCCGGAGCCCTGATTGCTGATCAGCCTGCACACCTGCTCATCAACTCTGCAGCATATCAAGCCTGGTTCTTCATCACTCATCACCAGGTTGTTATTTCAGCCGGTGCTTGATGAAAGTTCTTCACCATCATGAACTCTGTGCATTTGACTCTTGTGTTGATTCTGATAGTCGAACTAATCTGCTACCCATCTCATGCGCCTGCCAGCCAAACCAGACATGATCTCACCCCCTGCCTTCATCTCCACTCAGCACTAGTTCCCCACCCACCAGCTTCCCTCAACCCTCCCCTGCTGTAATCCTCCTCCACCTCCATCCACCTCCACTCCCTGACTGCAAACAATAAACTCTTTCTTATTCCTTCTACCTTCGATTCTCACTGTTGATCCTAAAGTCAGGAATGCACACAGGTATGTGTCGGCGATCTCACCCAGATTAAGAAACAAAAAACAAAAATCACACTGGCAGCAGAAAGTTCCATCTGTACAGATGTGGCGCATATTTTTAGTGACGGAGAACAGAGAGCTGCTTCCAAAATACGCTGTGATACATCTGTCAGGATGTGGGCGCAGAAGGGACCCTAATGCAGGACAAAGTTAAACAAAAATTAAAAACGCATTTACTGGCTGATGCACAGTCCAGAAATAAACAAAATCTGCAAAATGGGAACCAAAACCACAAAGCAGAAATCTAACTAAACACTGAGACCTTGGAAAACAGGAGAAACATAAGCAGCACAACAGGGAGCATTAGCAAACAATCTGGCAAAGTCAAAGTTAAACACTGGACTATGCAGAATATATACCTCAGGGACTAAATGCGGATCAGAAACAGGAGGGGAAGGAGATGAAAATAAAAGTAATTGAAAAAACTTGTAAACAGTGGACTAACTAACTTAATGACAGACAGCGAAGCACCAAAGACTCAAATCATAACTAAGCTAAGAACTAGAATAGGAACTGATGCTTAAAATAACTACGGAGTAATAACGAAATCAAACAGGAACGCAAACTTCAACCAATACCGATCAAAGCTCTAAAACTCAAAAGCTGCAAATAAAAACCCACACAAATATAACAGCATCTGATCGACTCAGTAGTATGTTCTTGAGTAGTATGTTCATGTACTAATTCACTCAGTAGTATGTTCATGAGGGAACATTTCCTGGTTGAAACATGAGGATTTTCCGCCTCTGACCAGACGGGATTTATGGCCGGCAGGCACTCATATGACAATTCAAGACGCCTCTTGAATATTATCCATACATCGTGCAACTCAATTCCAGAGGTTGTGGTATCTCTTGACGCGGAGAAAGCTTTCGACCGCGTCGAGTGGAGCTTCCTCTATGAGGTGATGGATAGGTTTGGCTTAGGGGCTGACTTTATTCTCTGGGTTAAGCTACTATATTCCTCACCATCCACCTGTATTCGTACTAACAACAACTTGTCTTTGCCTTTTCCACTTGAAAGGGGCACTAGGCAAGGGTGCCCTCTCTCACCCCTCCTATTCGCCATTGCTATCGAGCCTCTTGCAATATGGCTGCGTTCAGAGGATAGATTTAAAGGCATTACAAGGTTCGGTGTGACTCACAAACTCTCCCTTTATGCAGATGACTTGCTCCTGTACATTTCTGACCCTCTAAACTCATTCCCGGTGTTTTTTGACATACTGGACCAATATGGTACACTGTCAGGATATAAGGTCAATTATCAAAAAAGCAAGTTGCAACCCCTCAATTCCCTGGCCAGAGCTCTTCCCCACTCAATAGTGCCTTTTAAGTGGACAGAAACCGGATTTAGATATGTGGGGGGTTTTATTTCCTCTTCTATACATAAAATGATGAGGGAGAATTTTCTATCCCTACTAGAAAATGTTGGGAAAGATTGTGACCGTTGGACTTCTCTACCACTGTCAGTGGCAGGGAGAGTTAACCTGATAAAGATGAGTGTCCTCCCAAAATTCTTGTATCTTTTTCAACATGTCCCGATTGTTCTTACCAAGGCATTTTTTGACAAGTTAGAAAAGATTCTGTCACATTTCATATGGGGAGGGAAACAAGCTAGAATTCGCAAGTCTATTCTTCAGTCCTCTAAAAGTGACGGTGG